TATGAGTTTCCTATTGCTGCTGCAACAAATCAGCACAAATTCAGTGGCTAAAAACAATATCAATGCCTGGCAAGCAGAGACCTCAGGAAATACTAGCTGTTGTAAGCTGCTTTGGGCCATTGTCATCTGCTGCTCACCACTTATTATAAAATAAACATTTGTTGAGTCAACTGCTGTTTTTCATTTAATATTTACTGAAATGAACCAAAATTCCAATGTGTGTCTTTCATGATCCCATTTCGCACCTGAGGACATTGAGGCTCAAGAAGTTGTATTGCTCAAAATCACGCAACTGAGAGTTGGGACTGAAAGCCAGTGTTCTTGACTGAGGATCCAGGACTCCCTTGCTCCATGCCACCATAGCTGCTTGGCTCTTGGCAGCGTTTGGGGCCCACCAAATCCATGCAGGTCCTGGTGCTGGAAGCTGGCGGGGCCACCTGTCTGCAGTGACGGCTCCGCGTACTCAGAGCTCCAGGTCCTCAGCTGCCAGTCGCCTGAGCACACTCATGTAATCTTAATGAACAATGTGCAAAGCCATTAAAAACTCAATTAGGACTTTCTTTTTACTGCCGACGTGAGGAAATGCAATCCTGAGGTGCTCATGTGTAAACACAATAGCCACCATCTGCTACAGAGAAGCGTTTTGCTTCCAAAAAGGGGAACTGTGTCGCGCACACATCAGTAACGGGGCGCTTATCGGGACGTTATTATGCACGGAGGGGAAAAATGCAGAATTTATGGCCAGCCAGAGAGTACTTCCTGGTTTAATTCCATAGTTTTCAGTGTTATGTATAATAACTATGAAGAAACTAATGCTGTTTTATGTTCCTTATCACGTTAGTGGATTTTTTTTTTTTAAGGCGAAGGGAAAAGAATGTATTTACAGTCTTCCTCTTTCTTGTTTTTGACTGATCTTGGCGTAATGACCGGCTCATTTTTGATCTCTAGGAAACTGACAGCCCGGGGATGATATTAATTATGCCAACCTGTTGATCAAAGAGGGCCCCACTGAGCCGCTGCTGTACAAGGGCTTTCGCTCCCGAGCAGTCCCTGAAATGGCAGGCTGCTCAATTTGGAGACAGGGCTTTCTGCTTCTGGAGGGTGTGGCCAGACCTCTGGAAGGCTGGCTACAGGTGGAGGGGCCACAGAAGTCCCATCCCACCTCCCCTAAAACACTGCACTCGCATTGCTGGCTGCTTACTTAGCTTCCTAATTCGGAGCCTTAGCACATGCCACTCTTGCTATTTCGAATGCCTCCCAGGCTGCCACCCAGTGTTCCTGCTCTTAATGATGTCCCCATTTTCAGCATCTTGCAGATTTGCTTTGTAACTGTTTCATATCTTATCGCCTTAAATTAAGGGACTCATAGGAAACAGTGACTCTACCACAGTGCCAAACCATAATGATAATGCAAGCTGTAGAAAGAGTCAACTTCAAAATATCAGTGACTTCTTTACTTAACGTCTAGGATGAGAGTTCCTGATAGTTAGATGGCCCTGTCTTTCAGGGAACCTGACTCCTTTCAATATGGCTCTTCCCTTCCTCCTCTGGCTCCTGAAATCCTGAACATTCATCTGGAGATGGGAAAAGAGGAAGGACCAGTGATTCTCACACTTTAATGTGCATACAGATCACCTGGGGATTTTGATGAAATGTAATTCAGTTTTAACAGGCTTGGGGTAGGGCTGAGATTCTCATTTCTTACAAGCCCCTAGGTGATGCTGAGGCTGCTGAGCCAAAGGCCATCGTCTGAGAGACAAGAAGATGAAGGATGGAGTGTGGGGGAGGGAGGCAGGAGGCTTTCATGGACCAGGCCTGGAAGAGGCACACATCACACTCACGCCCCTTGTCTGACTCCCAGTGGGATGGCTGTGTGGGAACCCTCATAGGGAGGGGCCAACTCCACCTCCTTAGTGAGCCCATCCTGCTACTGAGGCTGGGATGTAAAGAAATGGAACATGAGCTGGTGGAAGGAAAGCCTTCCCAGGTCTCTCCGCTGTGGATCGTAAGAAGCCAAGGATGCTTTTGCAGCTGGTGTGAATTGGCAGGAGATGGGAGCTAAAGTGTGCATGTGAGAACCACGGGATCCACACTGGAGAGAACAGGCACACCTGGCTTCTCAGGCCAACTTCCCTACTGGGAGACATGCTGCTGCTTGCTGGCAGGAGCAGTCACCCACCCTTGGTGAGCCTTGTGTGTCATGACTCGACTCCAAGGACCCCTATGGGATTTAGACCAGCAGGCTTGTCTCTGAGCCTCAATTCCCCCCTTCAGTGGTTTCTTCTTTACTGTTTTGCTGGGAGGTTATGATAATTAGATAATCTAGATGACATGTGACAGGACACATAAGTTACTACCAAGCCATAAGGACCCTTCACTCTCTTGGAGACATTTGATGCACATCAGGTGGCTAATACCCCACGAGGTGCATGAATTTTTGCAATGGCCAGATGGTAAAAATTTGATAGCAATTAATTCAGGTTTCTCTGTCCTTGTCACCTTGTTTCATGTTGGCTTCTTTTTGGTATGTGCGCACCTAGCTGGCTTAGGCAGACATCCCAGTGAGACAGCTCTGGCCCTAGGAATCTGGTCAGCATCAGTTACTGCTGCTCTGAACACTAGCTCAGAGGGGAGAAATGCAGGAAGCCTAGATTGGCCTCAAGTCTAGGACATTTCTTTAATGCAGCTTTGTGAGTAATAATATTGAGGTTTCCAACTCAGTCTTCTCTCCTGTGTCCATCTAAATTAATTCAGAACTCAGAGGAGAACATTTGTTACCTTCTAGAACCCCAACAAGGTACAGATTTCTCAGAACTAATATACAGGGAGTTGTTGGTCTTTCTGGTATTAGGATGAAAGAATGAGGTGCTTTCTTGCTATTGAAGTAGCTAGCTCACCTGGACTGGGGATAAGGATTCATTCTGCATGAAGGTTTCACTGGTTAAGAGGAGATTTCAAAGCAATGATGAATTTTTAGGTGGAAACATTCATCCCAGAATCACTTGAGCTTGTCCACTGAATTTTATGATAAGTTTATTTTGTAGAATCGCAAGACTCTAAGTCCCATTGCTCAGCCTTCCACGTGGCTTGTGAAGTTTCCTTAGGCAGTGTCTCAGTGGTCTAGGCTGTGTTCAGCCACCTGTGGTGATGGGGGCTCATCTTGTCTCTGGAAGGTGGATCCCATTTGCGCTAGCTTCACTCATTAGAAAGCCCTTCACTTGTTGAACTAAGATGTGCCTCCTCATGGTGTAGCCCTGAGCCTGCCCTGTCAATTAGCTGTTGCTACAGTCATGCTGGATAACAATCCAAGAGGACAATGAACGAAAGACAGTGAGCATTTATTCTTGTGTTCCTGGATCTGTGCATGGATTGTGGGTTGGCTTGTCTGGGCTGGGCTGGGCTTGTGGGCCACGTGACTGTGCTTCTAGCTGTGACTTGGCTCTTCACCATTGAGTTCAAGTCTTCTCCATGTGTGTGTTTTCTTGATCACCAGCTGAGAAGGGCAGTGGCCACCTGGGGCACATTCTTCTCATGGAAGGTGGCAGTAGTCCAAGAGGTCAAGCACATTGGAAGCCTCTGCTTGAATCCTTCTATTAACATCCTGTTGACCAAATTGAATACCTGGTGAAGGCCAGTGTCTACAGGTGGAGACACATTCTCTGCTTCTCCTGAGAGGAACTGCAGAGCCAAAGGCAAAAGGCTTGGATCCGGGGAGTGATTCAGGGGCTCTGGAAATAACCATGTCATTTGTCTAAGCCACTCAAAAAAAGAGGACCAATTCTTTCTCTATGGTACCTGCTTTAATGTTTGGAAATAGTACTTATGTTTTGTGCAAATAGTAATAATAGCATAAACTTTAAAGTTAGAATCTGGTCTCTTTGTGTCCAAGGGGCCCAAGGAAAGTCATTCAATCTTTAAGGAAAATGAGTGTCTTCTATCTCCCAGCATCACTCTGAAGATTAAATTGAAAATATATATGAAGACGACACCTAATATTGTCACTGGTACTCTGTTAAGTGCTTAGGGGTTTTACTTTCCCATTCCTCCTGAACATCATCCATTTGGTTCTCCCATTTCTTCAGGGGCTTGATAGCTTGCTCTCATGTACCCTGCTTTTATATGCTGTCCTCTAATGTGGGGGTCCCTGTACTGAATGCAAGACTCCAGGTGGAATCTCTTGGAACAGTGGCTCCCCAAGTTCACAGGGTGTTATTTTTTCTTATTTTACCTGCAGAGGTTCCAGTTAACTAACTTCTTAGGTTTTTATTCCGTGTTTCTTCCAAAGAGCTGCACACTGTAATGTTTCTCTTGTACATGTTTATAGATTGTCTACTTTGTAGAAAGGCTTCCTATATGTTATCCATTCCCTTAATTCTTAAAACCTCATAGGGCAGGGAGAGGGCTAGGAATAGGAAAGACAGTGGAACGAATTTGACATAACTTTCTTATGTACATATATAAATACACCCCAGTGAATCTCCACATCTGTACATCCACAGGATTGGGATCCTAATTAGAATAAGATATACTCCCTGTTTGTATAAATATGTCAAAATAGACTCTACTGTCATGTATAACTAAAAAAGAACAAATAAAAATAAAACCAATCAAAGGGAGATCCTTAGAGAAATGGTGCAATGGTGTGGGAGTCAGGGAGGAAGGGGGAAGTGCTGGGGATGATATTGGTTAAATTATATTGTTACGTTCTGTGCATGCACGAATATGTAACAACAAATCCCTTTAATATGTATAATTATGACACACAGTAAAAAAGGTGGGGAGCAAACCCCTTATGGTGAGTAGGGAGTTCTAGCTCCAAATATAGACAAAGATACTCATGTTCAGAGGAGATACAGCTCTTAGGTTGCCCTAACTCTGCCTCCTGGAGTGACTTCAGCTCTAGCCACCCTGTGGCCACCATGTGTGGGCGTGACTGATTTTCAAAAGGATTTTCTTTCTCTCTCCTTGTCTCTGCTTCCCACCCCTTTGTGGGTCTCCAGGGTCCTTCATGATGGTGAATAGCTCTGGGAGGGCATCTGGCCAGAAGGCCCACCTTCTCCTGCCGACCTTGAAGGAGAATGATACCCACTGCATCGATTTCCATTACTACTTCTCCAGCCGTGACCGGTCCAGCCCAGGGGCCTTGAATGTCTACGTGAAGGTCAATGGCGGGCCCCAGGGGAACCCGGTCTGGAATGTGTCTGGGGTCGTCACCGAGGGCTGGGTGAAGGCAGAGCTGGCCATCAGCACCTTCTGGCCACATTTCTATCAGGTATGACATTTTACCATGGTTTGATGTTTTTAAAGTCATGATAATATACCTGTATACCTCTTGCTTCTGACAGTGGTTAGGTCTGGGAATGACTTGACTTCTTCACTCACTCATTCAACTTGTGTTTACTGGGCTTCTCCTCCTACTCAGGCCTTGAGGATGCCGAGGTGACCCAGTATAGCCCCTGCCTCTCCAAAGGTCCTGGTCTGGAGGAGGAAACTGATGTGTCTGTAAACAACTGCCGCACAGCAGGATGCACATGGCTTCTCAGGGTGCTGGAGGAGTGTCCCCTTGAAGCCTTTTAAAATGCCTGCCACAACCTGAAGAGGGAGATGACATCACTGTCCCCATTCTGTAAATGAAAGGATAGAAGTTCAAAGAGCGGAGATAACTAGTCACAGATCATCCCTGGGGAAGGGGCTGATGGTGGGAAAGGCACTCAGGATGGCTTCTAAGTTGGGCTGAGTCTTGGATGAATAAAATACATTGGAAAAGGGAGGGAGGAACACTTGAGCCCTCAGGGACAGTGCAGTGGGTTGGAGAGGTAAGTGAGGGATTGCGGCAGGGTCTGCAGACCTTAAGATCTTTCAAGGAACATTGCAAAGGAGATCAGCCTGCAGGACAGCTGGGCCTTGGGTGGACGCATGCTGGGCTTAGGAGTCAGAACACACTCTCTATTCTAGACAGTACTGCTCAGACCACCAGGGGGCATGGGCCTCTTCTCCCAACTCATTATGGGCCAACATGCTTATAAATCACAATTAAAAAAAAAAAAAGCCACAGGAGGTCTAGATCATTCCATCAGTTTCTAAACGCCTCTGTCTCCTTCCCTGCTTCTCCTCACTGTGGACTCATACACAGTGCGCAGACCAGCACCACATGGACCCTCTTGGAGGAACACATCTATCTGGTTGTTTTAGCCCAAGAGCGTGGAAGGTATTTTTCTTTCTTTTAAAAATGCAAAGTTATTAAGGTAAAGATGACATATCATAAAACCCACCCATTTTAAGTGTATAACCCAATGGTTTTTAGTCAACTTACTGGGTGGTGTGACTATCACCGTAAACCACTTTCAGAACACTTCCATCACCTGAGTTAAGATCCATTTTACCCATCTGCAGTCAATTCCCATTCCTGTCCTTGCAAGGTTTTAAATAAGAAGGTGGCATAGACCTGCATTTGGAGAAATTTCTCCAGTTTCTGAAGCAGTAGATTGACCCGAGGGTGGTAAGACTAGTAGCCGGGGCTCCTTAGGACATCTTCCAGTTCCACTCCCACGGTGGCACTTCCAGATGTTAATATCAGGAATCTGCTTATCTATTGAGTTCGCCTGTTGAGTGTACATTATGAGATGATTCAAGTTTTGATTTCCCCTTTGCCTTGGCAACTAGAAATCAGAATTTAATACTCAATTACCTTCAGTACTTAGCTTGGATTTTTGCTGTATTATTTTCATTTTTGTCTTCAATGGCTCGTGATTACTTTTAGAATAATTTGCTGTCCTTTGTTATGCCTTTCCTGAAATTCCTTTTAGAAGCAGGGAAGTCATCACAGTGGTGGTGGTAGTGGTGGTGGTGATGCTGGTGAGGCTGCACGAGGTTGAGCATGCCCACCATCTGTTGAGTGTCCATCATGCTCCAGGCTCAGTGGGAAATATTCTGCATACATTGACTTGTTTAGTGCTCTGAATGATCCCAGGAGGCAGGCACTACTGTGCCCATTTTTTAGATAGTGAAACTGAGCCTCAGAAATAGTGAATGGGGACACAAGCTCACATGGGGTGCTACCTTGTTTTATGCCTCATATTCTGTCCAATTACATTTTAGAAGTCGTGTTGAAAAAGCAAAAAGAAACTAGTCAAGTTAATTTTGATAACATATTTTACTTAACCCAATATATCCAAAATACTATGACTTCAACATGTAATCAATCTACACAGTTATTAAGGAGCCATTTTACGTTGTTTCTTTGTATGTCTCATTCAAATCTCATTTCAAATGCTACGTTTTCATTGGAAATACTGATCTGCATGTAGATTTCATAAAATTTACCATTGCAGAGGAGGATTCAGATACACAAGTTGCTCCAAAACATACTTTAAAAAAAAGTTTTTTAATAACTGAAGCAAGTATCAGTTTTTTAAAAAATTGAATTTAAAGTAATTAAAGTAGAACGAAGCCCAAATAATCCAGTTTCCCAGTCTCACTAGCCACATATCAATAACCACATGTGATAATGTTAGACAGCACTGGTCAGAACCCTTAACCCCTTGGCTACACAGCTTCCTTCAGTGGAGATATTGAAAGGGTCGACACCATCTGGCACTCCTGGGTCAGGAGATGAAGGGCGACTCCAAAGTTGGGCTCTGGAAGGGACCTGGCCGTGGTGTTGAGCGAGTTCTCCTGGTGGTCACTTGAGTATTGTGCAGCTGCCTGTGTAGTCCGTGGACCTGGGTTGGGAAGGTTTTGTTGAGGTTTACATTTGGAGTCCCTTATCAGAGGCTTCAAGGAGTGGGTAGTCAGATGACACCCTTGGAGCAGAGCTGTGGCCGGCCATCCACAGCACAAGTTATCCCATGACCCCGACTGCCAGCGTCCTGGGAGGGCACCTGAGAGTCCTGTTGTGGCTACACTGTGAGTTTCCCAACACCTGTAGCAAGCTCTGTGGCAGCGCCCTGTTCTCTCCCATCCCTCTCTGCTCTGCTGGTCCATGGGGTGGCCAAGAAGCAGGCTCAGGAAGTGAGGAGAGTCAGGAAGAGAGTGGAAAGGAAAGAAGAAGTAAGAATGGAGGAAAAAAATCCTGAAAGAACTCATTGTAAGTTTGAGAGGATGGGAGAGCTCACCTCCTCCATTGGTCAGTCACTTAACAAGCCTCCTGTCTCAGCTGGACAAGTGCCAGTCATCTGGAATGCAGAGGTGCCGGCGAAGCTCAGCCCCACGGTGGGCAGTGTGGACGGTACTCCCTTTGGGTCAGCTGAAGCCCCCGCTCGCTCTGGTGCAGCAGCAATAACCTATTGATAAAAGGGCTGAAAAGAGAGTCCTCTGCCTTTTCCATTTGTTTCTAACAACGTGATGTGTTTTAGCCTAGATATTTTGAGACAAATAACATACCGTTGGCTTCATATTCCAGTATGCAGTATGTGCAGTGTGTTTTAACTAGTACCAGGCCCACAGACCTTTATTTTAAACTCATGATGTCAGATGTGTTTCAGAATTCACAGCATTTGCACTTTAAAAGGTAATTTATTTGCACACACTGTGAGCTTCCCAACACCCGTATCAAGCTCTGTGGCAGCGCCCTGTACTCGGTGGTCTAATATCTCTACAGCAAAACTTACACATATTCACAAGAAGTGGGATAAATAGAGGCTATAAATATCATCCAAACAGCTCAGCTCAGGTTTTACCACCAAATTACATAACCACTCTGTGAGATAACTTGTTTCAGAGCATTTGGGGGCTCCTGGTTGCATTAAGGATAAAGCCCGTGTTCACTACCTATTTTTGTCAGCTTTTTCACAGCTGTGACTAAAAGACATGACAAGGACAATTTTAAGGAGAAAAATTTTATTTGGAGGTTCACAGTTTCAGAGGTCTTTGTCCATAGACAGCCAACTCTAGTCCTCAGGGCTCAAGGTCAGGCGAATATCCTGGTGGAAGAGTGTGGTGGAGGGAAGCAGTTCAAGGCATGATGATCAGGAAGTAGAGAAAGAGATTCCACCCGTCAGACACAAAACACAGACCCCAAAGTCATGCCCCCAATGCCCACCTCCTCCAGCCACACCCCACCCACCTTCAATTACCACTCAGTTAATCCCAATAGGGGAGTAATTCACTGATTGAGTTAAAGCTCTCATAACCCAATCATTTCATCTCTGAATATTCTTGCATTGTCTCACACATGAGCTTTGGGGGGACACCTCATATCCAAACCATAATACTGCCTGCAGTTGCATGAATAGGAGAGCAGCTCTTGCTTGAGTATGGTGGGAAGAATCCCCACTGCATATGGCACACTTGTTAACGGGGCTGCTCTGCAGTGAAAGGTGATATGGTCCAGGTCTCAGCATTTTGGAAAGGCTGCATGATGTTTCTTCTAGAAGGTACATGCTCACTGTTCAGCAGGGTTTCTGAGGAGTCACAAAGAAACTGATTGTTATTTAACATGTTGTCTCCCAATTAAGTTTGACCTTGGCCTCTATTTATTACATAACCACCTTAGTATAGAGTTAGTCTTTTAAGAATAGATGGCCCAACATCATAGTTTGCCTGAGAGCCCTGGTTTGCTCCTCTTGTTTTGGTGAGATTGTAGAGAGTACTCATTTCATCTTGTGTCCCAATTTGGGATGATAAAGATATTTACAGAATGTGTACCAGCACATGAGTTTTTTGGCTTTCCCATTTTGTAAGTCAGGTAAATATTTTCCATAGAGAGGCAGTCAGGAAGTATTTTGACTTTTGTGGACCTTAAAGTCTCTGTTGTAATTACTCAAATTTGCCACTGTTCCATGAAAGCAGCCGTAGACAATACGCCAATGAATGGTCACAGCTGTGTTCCAATAAAACTTTATGCACAAAATAGATGAAAGACCAGATTTGGCCTCTAGGCTCTAGTTTGCTAAACTGTGGTGCAGATGATAAAGCTGAGGCCAAGAGATGGATGATGACGTCCAAAAGCATACATGGCGAATCACTGGCAAAACTGGGATCAGAACCCAAGATTGTCTTCTGGTATCATGAGTGTAAACATCAACTCCCTGCATAGACACATGGATCCCTTGTTGAGGTCTTAAGGATCCAATTAGAAACACTCTCCTAGGGCCTGGTACAGATGGGCATAGGATGGGGCTATGGGCCAAAGTGCAATGATCAGAAAACTGACCCAGTTTTCTAACAGGGGCTATGTTAGTCAGATTTTCATCACTATGACCCAAAATACCTGAATAGAACAATACAGAGAAGGAAAAGTTTGTTCTGAGCTCACAGTTTCAGAGGTTCTGT